CACCTATCTGTGTTTTAGTATGAGTTATTAATTAGGCTAATCAAATTATAGAAGTATAGAAGGGTTGGGTTGGAGGGGACCTTCAGAGGTCATCTAGTGCCCCCCGTCCCGCCAGAAGCAGGAACATCTCTATCCAAACCATCCTACACAATCCACTGTCTAACCTATTTGTAAACTACCCAGTCAACCCTGACACAACCATCAAGACACCCTAACTTGCCGCAGGGGGACAACAGTGGCCAATGTCCTGCTGCTGTGAGGGTTGTTAAAATATACTTGAGATCCGAGGAAGAGAGCCACACCCCCAGTACAGAGGAAGATAAAACCCCCTACAGTCTATACCAAACTGACCATGGGATAAAATTACTTTCTGGCTCCAGATATGGCAGTTGCTTTGAACGTGAGCAGAGGGGTGAGACCCTCATCAGGAACCACCAGGTTAAAGTCCCAGCAGGCAAACGGGCGCACCCCAGTCAAAATCCCCAGTGTCGGCTGCGGCCAATGTCCAATGCTTCTGAGGAAGCTAAAATATCCCTTCCTGACATACATAGCAATAACAGGGGAAAGTTCCTTTCTGGGCCCATATGGCAACCAGCAAAGCCCAGAAATACCCATAGTAGAATATAGGCATAGCTACTCCTAGATCATCTCTGACCAGCGGCTGCATAAGTGGCACCAGAAAATATTATTTGCAGGGTCTGAGCAGTGCGGCGCGCGCTTGCCTGAGTCCGCCCCTTCCTCCCGCAGGGCTGTTCCACGGGGCTGGCATGCGCTGGTGCCGTGCACATGGTGACGGGGGCTCTGGGTGCGGCACTGCGGCAGTGGTGGTGCTGGAGCCACTGTCACCGCCTCGGTTTTGGGGGCATAAGCCCTGTTAGCCTTGGCCTTCCACCACCTATGAGTGGCCATGCAGTCTCTTCCTGAACACCTCCCATGATAGAGGGTCCACACCTTCCCTCGGCAGGCTATTTCACTGCCTCAGTGATCTACCAGGAAGTTTTACTTGATTTACAATCTAAACCTACTTGGCTGCAACTTCAAGCCCTTGGTCTGTGTCCTGCTCTCTGCACCAAGAGAGGTGTTTTACTACTTTTTATGGCAGCCCTTCAGATACTTGAAGATTATTTTCATGTCTCCTTGTGTGGTTTTCATTTTTATGCAAGCTGAGCATGCCTGTTTCTTTCAACTTGTTCTCGTATGGCTTGCCTTCTGAGCTCTTTTATCATTTTTGTTGCCCAATTTTGGACCATCTTTAACTTCTCTATGTCGTTTTTAAAACGTGGAATCCAAAACTGAACACACTACTCTAGATGAGGCCTAACTAGCTCTGAGTCAAGAGGCATTATCACTCCCCATGTCTTGTACTTAATGTTTCTGTTAATGTAGCCCAAAACTACATTAGCCTTTTGTTCAGCTGCATCATGCTGCAGGCTTGTATCGAGTCTGTGATCCATCAGGATTCCTAGATTCTGCTTTGTAGTGCTGCAATCCAGTGAGGTATCACTTATTTTTGTATTTCTGCTTTTGATTATTCTTTGAGGTATAGCACCTTGCATTTGTCAGCAGAATTTTGATGTTATATTGGATTTCTTAAATTGGAAAATTGATCTTATTTAAAATGTCACAGTCCACTGGGATGGCTGGCCTAGTGAATAGAGCTGGAGATTGCTGGGGTGGGGGTCAGAAGCAATGAGTCAGGAACCAAATACCAAGTAAATATCAGGATCAGAAGCCTAGTTACCAAATCTGAGGGACAGTACTCAGGGCAAGGACTATATGGGCATCTGTCTGTCTTGTGAGGTAATAGATTTGCACTGAGTGGGGCATCACCTCACTGAATATCCATGAGTGTGGCCATAGAGTCCAATTCTTAAATGACAGTCCATCCCACACTTATTACATATGAGGTTCATATCTACAGTCCTGAATGTGGTGCAGGGTTCTTCCTGAGGTTTTGTCTTTCCTCTGAGGAAAGAAGAGGCTAACATGCAGAGTCTTCATTTGCATGCTCCTGGGTGAGGTCCAAGAACAGAACCAAACTGGGGTCAAGAGGCAGGAAACAGATCTACAGGGAAATCCAAAGCCAAAATCCAGGAACAAGCCAAAGGCAGGATCAGGAACCAGGAAAGCCAGAAACATCGCCGCGCAGGAGCTACTTGGGGACTGGAGAACGTTTGTGCTGCAAGGCTCAAGTGCTGTAGGAGTTCCTTAAAAGCAGCTCCAAAATAAATTGGAGGAAAAGGTTTGGGCAGGGAGGAGAGTCGGTTCACCTCAGTTAGTTCAAGTGTAGCTGACCGAGTTATGAGGGCTTCGGGGCAGGAGCCTGACTGAGTCTTATGCAGCTGACCTGGTTACCTAGGGTGTAGGGTAGGAGCCTTATATAAAACTTAAGTACTTGTAACCTTTCCGATCATTTGGATTTACCTGGGAAATATGGTATTGTATATTGCAAAGTACCAGGGAGTCTATGAAAAAACCGGGGAAAGGTTCCTCCTTTGGTGGGAAATTTTAGAAGAGGGAAGAAAAACCTCATGGGATAAACATAAAGGCTCAATAAGAAGACATGAGGCGATCTAGCTCCTCAAGGAAGAGGAAGAAAATAATGCCATGTATGACATTAATTTTTTTAGATTTTACTTATATTTTTGGAGTGACCCTTAAGAAAGATGAAGAAAATAAAGAACTAGCTGAACCAGCTAAAAATTTATGGCTCAGATACAACTGCTCCTTTACAATGGGTACATACCAGTTACATCAAACTGGTGGTACATCAACGTACTAGCTTTAGTTCAGATACAGACATTAGTATATATGGCCATGTGTAGACGAAACGAGAGGCGTGTGTGCACAACACTTTAAAGTGGGCTAAATGATTTTGCACCAATTTAATGGTGTCAGTGTTTGCATGCCTCAGCGGCGTATTGCGCATTAATTCCAGCTGCTGTAGGAAATTCGGCGGCGTAATGCGCCTTAAATGACTTGGGGTACAGCAAACTAAAACTCCTTCAAGGAGTTCTGGTTTGCTGCCCCTACAGCCGCAGTAGGAAGCCCTGCAGGTGGCCTGGCAGCAGCCTGGGAAAGCAGGCTCCGCCCAAGAAAAGGGGTGAACCTGATCATCCCCCCGCCGCTTTGGAGCCTTCCTGCCTGCCTGAGCTGTACGGGGGTCCAGTGCTTCCCTCCGCAGCTGCGGTGCCCCCCAGGACTGCCGGAGTCGGGTGCCTGCGGGCAGGTGCTGCTGGGGTGGGTGGGGGAAACACACCACTGCTGCAGAGGGAAGCACCAGTCTCTGCCCGCCCTGCAGCCCAGGGACCGCTTTGCCCGCCGGCAGCTCCCCCTCCCCTCCCTGCCAGAGAGGCAGATAAGTCAGTGTGGTGTGTACATGACACGGGGGTTTAATCAACCCTAAATTGAAGTGGTGTTTTATAAAACCCACTGCTTCAATTTAGGGCCCTTGTTTTGTCTACATATAATACTAATGTACATCTATACATGGATATGTATACATGTGTTTATGCATGTATATATGTGCATGTATAGCTATATAATTGTTTAAATACACCCACATATACATAATAAACTTTACTTAGTAGATGGAAGGCTCACAAAGATCTGCAGTTTCAGTAGGCTTAAGAATTTGGTATAGTGAAGTTATGTAATTAAACCCACCTTTTTACTTCAAGTACATATTTAAAAAAATGATATAATTCCAATTTGGCCAATATCCAAGATTGTCCAGAACTCTGGCATCCTGAGAATCATTTTAATGCCATGCACGCTTAAGTTTCTAGGCCTTGAGAATTTTTAGGTTGCATATACATAAAAGTTTCTAGGCCTTAAATCAGCAATAACTGACAATTCAAAGACTATTTTTTAGACTGTTAATTGACAATGGTAATATATAACAATTCTCGTGTCTACATAACCACTGTCAAAAAGCTTAATGGCATCAGTATGTAGCTGGTAGTCTATCTGCACTTCCTTTGATTTTGATATTCATTAGCGCTCTTGGAAAAGTGCCTTTATTCTAAGGGATGTACAGACTTCCATCTTCAGCTCTCTCTGTGCAAAAATGAAGTTTTTTTCCTACCTACGGGGACTTTTTACCATCTTGTACCATCTACACTTTTCCCAGAGCCTGATGAAGGGACTTTGATCCCGAAAGCTTTCAGAAAAGGACAGTTTTCTTGCCATTTTCCAGTTGGTCTAATAAAAGGTATAATTTTGGAACCAAGAGTTCTAGTTTTTTTGTATGTCCTTTTATTCTAAGGGACTCGCTCAAGTGTCGGGAAGAATATTTGAAAACCCACTTTAAGCCTGCTTATTGCCCTATTGTCTTAGTCCCCTGAATGAGCTTAACATTAAACAGCATTTTACTTATAGCCTGCTTTAATTTCTACCAGAAGATAACCTGGGCTCTGATCCAATGCTCAGTGAAATTAAAGATTTCACTGACTTCAGCTGGTCATTGGATAATGCGCTCTTATGACTCTTGGAGTTAATGTTTAATGATACACATGCATGCTTATATTTAGCAGATGCAAGATCAGAGTTTCCAGTTAGTTTATAATTTTCTTCTACCAATATGCTCTTCATAGAAAATTTACAAGAAGTAGACAGTAAGAAAATAGTAGTTTTTGTTTGGTTTGGTTTCAAGGAGAGAAATACCAAGTAGTCTCTAATCAAGGAAAATGAGATAGCTTCTGTAGAAAAACATGTAAAGTGCTTTCTGTCAGCTACTTGACAGCTAGTAGCATCTAAAGTCCAACTTGCACTATTAAACACACTTGCTTTCCCAGTAGTGTTTGCAGAATGAACTATTTTGCCATCTGAGGAAACATACATACGCAGAAGTTAAAATGCTCAGTGAATAAATAAAATGACATGTAGATAATATGGAACTCACAGAGATACAAAATCACTGAAGTGACAAATGAATTGGTATTACAGCATTACTGTAGCCATTCTTGGGTCTTCCAGAATTACCCTGAAGAGTCTCAGAAGAATAATTAATGAAAATGTAGAGAGGAGAAGAAAAAAGAAAAAAGTTCAATGTATTATTCAAAATGTTTGATTTGGAAAATAATAATATGAAAAGGAAAGAAGATTGTTATGAGTCTTTCTTCCAAGATCCTAAATCATGTTTATATTTATTAAAGAGACAGGAACAACCAGTGAGGTAACAGCATTTTCAAGTTACACACAGATGCTTAGGTTAGTTCAGGGGCAGGCAATTATTTCAGGCAGAGGGTCACTTACTGAGTTTTGGCAAGCCATCAAAGGCCGCATGACAGGCAGCCAGGGGCAGATAAATATAAATTTTCTAAATTTTTTAGGGGTCCCGCGGACCGGATAGAATGGTTTAGTGGGCCGCATCCAGCCCATGAGCCGCATTTTGCCCACCCCTGGGTTAGTTGGACCCTGAAGAGACTGAAGGGATCTTTATCAAGATAAATGAATGGCATTGTAATGACAAAGGAAGTTCAGAGTTGATATTGCAAATCAACGTACATTACTGGGAAAGTCTGAATAGCTGCTGCCATCTCATGAAAGGGCCCTTGGATTCATTTTATACGATTCATTGAAGACCTGAGCTCAAAAAGAAAAATAAATTCTGAGACCTAAGTATCAGGATGAACAATACAAAAGGATGGAAAATAGGGTAATGCCATTATATAAATCAATGGTGCAGCCTTGGACTCCTATGCAATGCATCACATCTAAAAAATGCTGCTGCTAAGTTAGAAGGGGTTGTGAGAAGCATAAAAGAAATGCTTAGGGCAGTAATTTTCAGCCAGGCCGCCACATAAGATTAGCAGTGTTAGGTGTGCAAACACCTATACATGATTCACAAGCTACTCCTACAAATTTCAAATAGAAATCGATAGTGTCAAAAATAGTCTGACCTGTTGTGGTATTTCTGAGTTCTTTGCCACAGAGGAATGCTCATATTATCTGTCCACAGTCAAAAAAATGAGTGAAAGTTAAGAGCTGTCATTTTCTGAGGGGTGCCTTGAATCGAATGAGGGGTGTCGAGTCTTAAAAGGTTGAGAACTACTGGTTTTAGGGACATGGGCAAGCTCTTTTATGATGAGAAACTGAGAGGAATTGGATGTATACTTTAGAAAGGAGACAAGTAAGAAGGAATTCATTAAAAGTATGTCAAATAATAAATATGATAGTGAAGGTGCAGCAAGAGCTTCTGTTTTGCGTGGATCCTAATCCAAGAATAAATCAGTATCATAGGAAACTGACAGGTGGAAAATTCAATACTGATTAAAGAAAATATTTTTTTTAACAGAACATAAAAGGAAGATATGGAGCTTATTGCCACAGGAATTTAAACAAAATGAATATTAATTCAAAAAGGCCTTGTGCACTTACATAGTTAACAAGACTATCCAAGGTTATGACAGTTAATCCTAGGAAGATGTTTACAGAGAATATATGATCTCATAATTTAGGGTTTATCAAAATCTGTAACTAGCAGGGATGAAGGTGAGAGGCTCAGGGCAGGAAGGTGTGACATTCATGGTTGTGCCTTTTTCTGAAACATCTGGTACTGACTCTGTTGGACACTTTTAAGATGCAGCAATTTTAAGAAAGAATATTTATGGTGTGGTCTCTCATGCTACTTGGCAACTGTATTGCTGTGTAGAATAAAACTGATGGTGTAGTACTGTGTAGAAGAACATTTCTTAATATATTTTTAGACATCCAATTGAGGTTTTGTGTTTGGTTTGGTTTGTCTCTCAATTGTACTGGGTTAAAAATGAATCACCACCTTAGTTTAGGAATCAGCGGCCTGAAGATCCAGAAAAGATGCATAATTCTCCAGCGACTCAGCCATTCTTGAGCTAGAGGCAATTGCAAAGTTCTGGTCAGCATTAGAGCAAAGAGGGAAGGGACAGGCAAAACAATTATACTGCTTTAACAATGGAGAACTAACCATGATTCAGCTAAATCATATGTAAATGTTTCATCTCTCTACTTAGGTTCCCTTATTGCAGGATAGGAGTGGATAAATGAAACAGTAATGACAGATCAGCTGACCCATGCTTGCAAGGTGTAAATCATCCTGCCTTTCAAGCAGTATAGCAGGGGCAGGGAAGTGGTTTTAGTTTTTTTTTTCTGTCTGCACCCTGAGCACGTTGCATTGACAAGCCTTACCCTGTGTTCCCTCGTACTTTAGGCTCAGACACATGTGCTTAAAAATATGGAATGCTGTGAACACCCAGAATGCTTTGTGCTCCTTTCCTGCTTTTCCAAGAGCTGTGACTTAATATCTAAAATCACATTATCTCTGATTCCTGTGAAATTCTTATTTTGTCAATGTGATTTCCCTGATAGTATGGGAAGCCTTCAGTTTCAGGTTAATTGTAGGTTAAATAATGTATATGGTGACACAACAGGACGTCTGTTCATTGTGTTATTTATAAAGGGAAGAGCTGGTAGTTGAAATGTTTAAAAAAGATTCATTGGTTTATTGGCAAGCAAGCCTTTTTTTTTATATTAATATGCTTCATGCAACTCAAACAAAAAACAAGCAAACAAAACCCCAAACCATTTTGATGCAAAAGCTAGTATTTCACCTTTTAATTTTTTTTCTTCATTTTTTTCTGATTATTATAATTGGTGGGCCAGAACCTGCAGCTTCTGTTACAGGAATGAGTAAACATTTAACATTTGGTCCAGGGATATCAGCCATCCAACAGTACATTTGTTGATAAAGAATTCATTTCCCACCTGCAGTTATGATCCTCTGCTTTTATCACATCATAAGTCTCTCCAAAGCAACTATTTGTGGCATAACAAACAGAAGATTGTGACTTTGAGTGAGGAATCAATTTCAGCAAGAGAAACAGAGGAGGTCTTAAAACAACAAAGATCCTGCTTACTTGTTAGTATCCCAAGTAATAAAGGAAAAAAAATACAAAAAATATGTATGATCAGCACTGTCTGCAAATAGAAGACATAGGTGGTTCTTTAATATTTAAACAAAATATTCAATTGTTATATGTAGGAGTCTTTTGAGGTGAAGTCACTCAGTGATCCATTTAAATCCCTGTTTGGCATGCATCTCTAATTACTTTCAGAGCTGCTTAAATGCCACCAAATTCTTCTGTTACATAAACATGCATTCTGAAACAGATTTATCTGACTGGGGGAGGTGGACTGGCTTTGGGACTGGTGAGCATGCTTTCCGTATGACCAGTTATCAGCCAATAGCCAGCTCTGCGCCTGTAGCTAAAGCTTAGCATCTTTCTAGAGCACAGGGAACCTTATTCTGGTTCCAGAATTCAGAACAATGTACTGTTCAGTCAGTTCAGCCTTAGAGGTTATAATCCCTGGTGCACATTAATATTTCTATAGAAAAAGAATGTCATCTGGAGACTAAAAATCTGACCTATCTCATAAAGCTGCTATGCTATTGCCCCATTTTAATGCAAAGTTGTTTATATTTGTTATTTATTTAAAGTAGAAGTGAAAGGAATATGGGGCAAAACAGTCTTTCCTTTACATCAGTACAACAGAGGGTCACAGATTTACATTTTTTTAATGTTTATAGAACATCCAAAGCAAATATGGGGCTGGAGCTGTTCCCACTAAAGACATAAGGGACCAGAATCTACTGAGATACCTTTTGCAGCTCTGGTGGTTTCACTGGAATTGGATGTAATATTACTTAGGACAGACTTCGGCCCTGGAAGTTTTGCCTTTAATTTCAAGAAGCAAAATTAAACTCATGGGTTTTTATAAACGCTTTTTATCCACTCCACTGGAGAGAATGATGCTTAAAGAAAAAAACTCTTTGGTGTAATTATAAAATCCAATATATAAAATATATAAATATAATTTAATATATATATTAATATAATTTAAAATATATAAACATAATTTATATTTATATAAATATATATAATATAAAATCCAATATATAAAATAATAAGAAAATAGCTCTGGAAGGGCATAACAGGTCATGTGGGTCAGGTGTGGCCAGTGTGTAGCACAAGCAACCTGTGTGTGTGACGTGGTAGGTAGGGGAGGGAGCAGGGAGCATAGTGGCAGACAGTGCAGAGAGCAAAAAGCAGCAGAGTGGTAAGGACACAGGGCAGGGCGCAGAAAGTAAAGCAGTAGATTGGGGAGAGACTATAGGACAGGAAGTAGAAAGCCGAACAACATATTGGTAATGTGCTCCGGGAGTGTGTGTGGGGGTGCTTTAATTAGAGTGGCTCCAAGAGCCACTCTAATTAAAGCACCCAGGGTGTCTCGTGTATCAGCGTCCCCACACTGAAAAATGGTGGCAGGGGCGCTTTCACTAAAGCTCATCGAATGAGCTTGTCTAAACAAGTGTTAATTTCAGTGCCGTTCCTGCCGTTTTTCAGCTCAGGGATGCTAATACACAAGACACTGGAGCCTGCTGGAGCATGGTAGTTACCATGCTCCAGCAGGCTCAATTAATCAAGTAATTACAGCACATTGAAGCAGCCTGGCTGCTCATGTATAGGCGCTCTTGGTCACCATTCTCTTTAAAACAGTGCTTTTTTGTATTGGAAAACTATTTTCTCTACAGAAATAATCCCAGTTCTTCCAACATGTCCATATAAATACTCTCTCTTTTACATGTAAGACTGTGAAAACCATGTTAGGCTGGCAAAATCTGGCATTCATAGTTAGGGAATGTCAGTATTTGTCATAAATTGTCCATGTGGCCTGTTTGTATATGTATTTGAGAGCCTTGACATCACCTATGAAGTCCACGGCAGAGTTAAACCTTTTCCTGTGTCCTGGTTTAATGTATTATATGCAAGAATAAGTCTTTTCTCTTCTTATAGCCCGCTGCTTCAGGTACTGTTCATCCTGTATTTTGAATAAGTCATGCATCAGAGAAAATAAAGAGTATATAGTCACATATTTAACGTCTGAGTCATAATGTATATGCATAAGCAAGGTAACTTTAAACTGAACAGGGAACTGTAATTCTTGCTTTTCCCAACTTTAGATTGCTTGAATTATCAGAACAAATAACATTCTTTTAACACATTTTTGTATGTTATTTCCTAGGGATTTTTAAGCTAACTGGAAAAAAAGAGAATATATTATAAACTATAGAAACTTATTTTCTCCAGACTTACATGAAGTGGTTGGAATTTGCTCCTTTTAGGGCACATCTACACATGATGCTACATTGCCATACTGACATTCTATGGCGATGTAGTGTCCACGGGTGTCTACATGTGATCAGCAGCTACTTTGCCGTAGTGGCGTGCTCCCCCATTGTAGTGCACCGCTACAGTGAAGTAGCTGCTAAAAATAACTGTGTGCCACGTGTATGGTGCAGTATGGGCAGTTACTGTGCCGTGCTGTAGTACTTCCAAAAGGAATTACAAAAGCACAGTGCAGTAATGACATCGCCATAAGGCAACATGTAGATGTACTCTTAGAGTCACAACTCAGATAAAGGAATAGCTGCTAGCTGTGGAAGTCAGTATGGACAGGTCATTACAGTGTACTACAACACTAACATAAACTATAGCTTAAGCAGCTATTTGCTAGACCTGGGATCTAGGTGTAGATCTTAGAATGCTGGGAATTAGGAATTCTTGGTTCTGTGCTCAACTTTGAATGGGAATGATACCTGTTCATTAGACAGCATAGCTTGGGACACAGATTTGGCACATTCATTCTGAAAAGTGGTGAGACTAGGGGGATGAGATGCTAAATAAGGGACCTGGCTTCTATTCCCAGGCTCAGGAAGAGCTTGGAGCATATGCAGTGCACACAGAGTTGGGACACATTGAACCTTGAGTATGTTAAAACGTGGTTGACATGCAGTTGGCATACAAGGTTGGCACACACAACACAAGTAGTATGTGTTGGCAGTAGCGAGGCAAATCCCACTGCTATGTGGAAATTATATTTTCATTGGCTGGAAACTTGTGGAACACAGATGGAACAGTTAGAGATTTTTACAGTTTAGAGGCTTGAACCAGGTCAGTTATGGATGGATTTACATTGTGGCAGCAAAAATCAGCTCCATGACCTGAGAAGTGCTCTGCTGCCAAATTTCAACATCCTTTTTTAAACCCTGAAGGTGGTCAAGTTCTTAAAAAAAATGGTTGGCAAAAATTACTGATGGTAGGCTACTTAGTTTTCCCTAACCTCATTTTTACAAAAAAAAAAAAAAAGAAAAAAAGACTGATCCATCTTTTGCTTAAACTCTCTTGAGTAATTCAGTCTGAGGGAGAGCATGTGTTGAATTTTTTATTCTTAATACATAAAGTTTGGCAAAGTTATGAGCAACTGAACATGGCTTTATAATGGGAAGCAACTCTAGCTATTGCTGCCAGCTGTACCTATAATAAATATATAATCTAGGTATAAAAAGAGCTGTAAGTAAATGTGATGCTATAACTTAACAATGCCCCTTAACTTATAAACTTTTACCCAGGCTATATTTGTAGTGCTAGTCTTTTAAATAAGACCCTTCCCAATATGTTTGTCATTATATGCTGCATTTTGAGAATTATCAGACATTACCGTTGCTTTTCCTATGTCACAGGGTTTTAGATCAAGTCCTCGTCATGCTAGAAGACGTGTAGCACCTCGCCTTGAAGAAACACAGCCTCTAGTGGAAGCTCATCACCTAAGCGAGCAAGAAACTTCTGTCAGGAAAAGAAAAATCAAGAAAAGCAGCCGAGTTCAGCCTGAATTTTACCATTCTGTTCAAGTCACACCAACTCGAAAACCTGTGAGTACCCTATCTCTGGGGTCTGACACAAAACATCACATAGAGGCAGGGAATGTAGCTTTGTTTTGTGAGACATGCTGTTTTTAATTCTTCCTCAGTTCAGAAAACTGCAAAATCTTATGACTGGCAACTGTAGACCTAAATGTGTGAGAGTGCATTTTAATGTCAATTTTTAACTGTTGTTTTTATCCATCTGTGAAGGGTCTTGTTAAAAATTTTGATTTATAGTCAAGATTTCAGTACTAAAATCATCCAACAGATTTTCTGTTTTACAACACATGACATCTATGCAGCTGAAATTTCTCACATGATTAAACTTATCAAAGATTCTAAGCACTATGCTGACATTGTGTTTGATCTCAACACTAGATACATTGGTTTAAGGCAATTTCTGAGGGCTTATGAGCTTTACCCGATTTTTTTTGTACTAAATTTGGATCAAGCCCTACCTTTCCTCACTCTGCAGCTTATACTTAGTTTCCTACTGGCATCATTATTTGATATAGGGGGTGTTACTTTTTTTACTGAAATATTTATGTCCATATAACTCCTAATGAGCCTCAGTTAGATTAGTATACAGGTTGCTTATATCAGTGTAGCTTATTTCCTCTCTAATGCAGGAGTAAATTGTTAGTATTTAAACCAGGGGTGGGCAACTATTTGGGCTGGAGGGCCACTTAAAAAGTTTTGGTGAGCTGTTGAGGGCTGCGCACATAAAATGAATCCTGCTTAACACTAGCTATACTTAAAATTGTTATGGCATTTATAGATAGTATCAAGGATTCTTTGTGTTGTATCTACACTTAATCAAAATAGCACATATTAACATACTAACCAACATGATACAGGTCTACCCAAAACTTATCTACAGGCTGGACAGAATCAGTTGGCAGGCCAGATATGGCCTGTGGCCTGTATTTTGCCTGCCCTTAATTTAGAATGATAGGAGTGCAGCCACATAAAGAGAATTGTACCATTTTAGTTTAAATGGGCCAGTGCTATGAAAGCTATATAACCTTATGTGTGAACCATAATAAACATCATGTCCATTTTCCTTCTCCTAGCTTGCATCCCTTTGGGTAAGCCGTGCCATTTGCACACAAAACCAAGTGTTATTAAGTACTGCAGTCAGCTTGACTTTCTCATTGATCTCTTAGATTCTCTCCTTTTCCCTTTCATCTGCCCCCAGTTCTCTCTTTCTCCTGTCTCTTCTCCCCTTAGCATTTCTATTGCTCTTGATGTTTTCCTGTCATTTCATTTTATATCTCTTTTCCTTAGTCCTTTAATCCATTTCTTGTGATTATTGTATATTCAGTCTATTTCCTTTTATTCTAATCTCCATTTTAGCCCCTATTGTTCTCTCTTCCTGTTCTGTTCTCTTGGTCAGGCAGTCTCTGGGGACCTCCAGTCTCTTCCCTTTGCACACTCTATTCTTTGGTCCTCTTCTCCTGTCCTGTTCTCTTCTTTCTCTTCTTGTCCTTTCCCCTCTTGGTTTCTGCCCTTACCTCCTCCTTCTTACCTTCCATGGATCCCTTGTGTCACTCTTCTCCCTCTCCTCCAGATTCCTTTTTCAACTGTATCTTTATCTCTTCATTCTCATGTTATGCCTGTGCTGAAGGAATACTTGACCATGATACTTATGTATTACTGGGATACTTGACTGAATGTTTTGGATAGGAAGTAGAGGACCAGGGGTGCTAAGTGAGTAGAACTTGCATGTGTGCAATACAGGGTAAGCCAGATTAGTCCTGCACTGCAAAACTGGCAACACACCACAGGGACCAGGGGACTAGACAAAAACCAGACACATAGTGAGTGATTTCATAGACATTAGGAGCTGGAAGGGACATTGTGAGATCAAGTCCAGTCCCTCCCTGCCATAGGCAGGAAGTCAGCTGGGATCAAATGACCCCAGCAAGGAAAACGTCTACGTTTTTTGAAAGAGCCCAGGGTAGGTGCTTGCACCACCTCTGGGGGGAAGTCTGTTCCACACCTCAGACACTGACACCGTAAAGAACTTTTTTCTTATGTCTAGTCTAAATCGGCCTTCCTGGAGTTTATGGCGGTTATACCTTGCTATCCCTTGGGGAGCTCTGGTGAACAGCTGTTCTCCCAGGTCCTGGTGAACCCTTCTTATATAATTGTAGGGTGCTACCAAGTGCCCCCTGAGCCTTCTCTTTTCCACACTGAAGAGTCCCAAGTCCCTCAGCCTCTCTTCATACGGCCTGCCCTCCAGGCCTTGAATCATACAAGTGTCTCTCCTCTGGACTTTCTCAAGCTTTTCCACATCCCTCCTGAAGTGGGGGGCCCGAAACTGGACGCAGTCCTCCAGCTGCCATCTCACCAGGCCCGAGTAAGGTGGAAGGATGACGTCCCCGGTTTTGCTTGAGATGCATTGGTGGATGCACACCAGAGTTTGGCTTGCTTTGCTAGCTACAGCATTTCATTGGTGGCTCGTATTCATCTTGCGGTCAATCAAGATGCCCAAGTCTCTTTCGGTTGTGGTGCTAGTGAATGTAAGTTTGTTGAAGGCAAGGTGCAGCACCTTTTAGTTCTCTACATTGAAGGCCATCAGGTTTTGGTCAGCCCACCTGGAGGGCATGTCCAAGTCCAAGTCAGCCTGTATCCCCAGCTTGTCCTGCAGTGTGACCTCCCTCTCCCATAATTTGGTGTCATCCATGAACTTTCCTAGTTCGCATCTGACTCCTGAATCCACATGGTTAATGAAGATGTTAAAGAGCACCGGCCCAAGTAGTGAGCCCTGAGGGACTCTACTGGTCACCCTGCGCCATGTTGATTTGCTCCTGTCAACTAGTACTCTTTGGGTCTGACCCCATAGCCAGTTACTTAGCCATTGGACCATAAGATGATCAAGGCCACAGTTCCACAGCTTAACCATGAGGACATCATGGGAAACTAGGTCAAAGTCTTTCTTGAAATCTAGATATGACATCCACATTATCTCCCTTGACCAGGTAACATGTGCCCTGGACATAGAAGAAGATGAGGTTGGTCAGACAAGACCTGCCAGTCACAAAGCTATGTTGGCTGGCATTCAGATGCTTGCCTTCCATTAGTCTGGCTTTGATGGATCCCTTGACAGTTTTCTCCAGGATTTTTCTAGGGACAGATGTCAGACTGATTGGTCTATAATTCTCCGGGTCATCCCTCCTCCCTTTCTTGAAGATAGGGACCACATTGGCTCTTTTCCAGTCTTCTGGGACCTTGCGTGAGCACCATGAATTTTCAAATATCTTTGCCAAGGGGGATGCAGTGATGTCTGCCAGCTCCTTCAAGACTCTCAGGTGCATTCCATCTGGGCCCGCGGACTTGTGAATGTCCAGTTTCTCAAGGTGTTCCCTCACCTGATCCACATCAATTTTGGGCCCATCACCTGCTCCCAGGAGTGCTCCTAGTTTGTGTCCTTTCTGACAGTGTGATCCCCTTGGGAGGGTGAAAAACCCATACAAAAAAGTTGTTTAGGATATTGGCCCTTTCTTGGGCGTCAGATGTCAGTTGCCCGATTAGCAATGGGTCCCTATCTTTTTCTTTTTTCAGCTTCCCACATATCTGAAGAAGGACTTTTTTTTGTCCTTGATTCCTGTAGCTAGCCTGAGTTCGGTTTGTGCTTTAGCTTTTCTGGACCGCTCTCTACAGGTGCGGGCAACTGCTGTGTAGTCCACTTTGGCGATGCTTCCTATTTTCCAGTGGGTGTAGGCTTCTCTTTTGAGTTTAATGGGGTCAAATAGTTCCGTGTTCAGCCAAGGGGGGTTCCTTGCCCGTTGATTACATTTCTTGTGAGATGCAGTGGCTTTCCCCTGTGCTTCAAGGATTATGTTTTTGAGAGATGACCATTCCTCGTGTACTCCCTTTTCTATGGGGGTATGGCCTCTAATTGCCTGACTGACCAAATCTCTGAGTGATCTGATCTTACTATATAACTTGCAGTTCATGTGATGTTAATGAGCCTGTTCTGTATTCTTCAAAGCCAGCCATTATGACCTTAATACATGCCAAATTTAGAAACAACTCCCTGTAGCACTGTCATGGTAGTTAGGATTATTTGATGTTATTTTTGCGCCCTACAGCTAGTTCTGTGTCTTAGAACTCTTTTAATAGTTTCAGGCTCTGGATCTTCAATAAACACACATGATATAACAGCAGTAAGCCCTATAACTTTATTAATCTACATGCAAAAAGAAAATTTAACTCACAGAAACAGCTTTCTTTTTTCACTCAATTCTTAAATTATGATGAAATTATTACTGAGATCATTCCAATATGAGTAAAGTTGATGCTATGACATTCCATTGCAACATTGTGATGTCTCATAAGGGCACAGAATATTGATGGCATTTCTCTGGCAGTTCAGGATTGTTCCCTTAGCTACATTTTCTTACACTTTTTTCAGTCTAGTTTTAATGCCTTAGATAATGATGCTTAAGCCCTTTCTGGAGACTCTTTCCCATCCTAATGCCTCATTTTCAGGAATTTTTCTATGATATATTTCCTAAATTTTTCCTTCTTTATTTTTTATCCTTTTTCTGCTAGCCATACCCGTTTGTATCACTTAGAGTCATTTCTCTGTCCTCTTAGTAATTATAGACTATAAATATTTGTTGGATGTTATGTCCCCACCCTCCTTAGTTACTGGCCAAATGGTGCCTGTTTAGCTGATATAATCACATCTCATCAAGCATTTCTTCCTGTGATCATTTTTGTTGTTTTCTTTGTAACTTCCTCCATTTGTCAATATATTTCTGGCAGTTAGGCACCAAGATACATACCGTATTTCAAACATGGCTGCACCAGAGTCCTAGAGAAAGAGACTTTGTCTTTTGTTGTGTGATATTTTTGTTAGTCAGACCTAAATGTACAGTAGTGTCTTTTGCTGCCATATTGCAATATATAAATTTACATTTGATATTATCATTTATAGAATGTTGGCAGCATTATCACATTCCAGATTTCTTGCTTCTATTGATAATCAATTTTATCCAGAAGTATTAGCTTGCATTTTTGTAGACAGATTTTTTTTTGCGTTTCCGGCCCACGTCTCTAATCTCTATTAGTTCGTTTAAATTACTTCTCTCTTTCTTCACTAGTAATCTTAGTGTCTTCAAATTAATCCCTGATCCTGCAAACGCTTATGCTTAACTGTATTGACCTTTGAAAGCAATAGGATAGCTTCTATGTATATACAAGTACTAGCAGAATCAGAACCATAGTATTATCTACAGGCTATATTAATGCTCTGTTTATGCCTTCACTGAGGTCACAAATGAAGATACTAAATGTGGACCTCACATTGATTCCTGAAGTACCTTAACAGATGTCCAATCTACAATATAGTTCATGGCCATTTCTATTTGTTGTCTTTATTTGCCATATTTCAATGCAACGTCATCATGTTGTAGTATATCTCCTTGCCATCCTGTAGACCACATCCTAAATGAGAGCAATAGTACCTTCAGACATTCCCTAAAAGTGACAAGATTACTTTATGCAGGGTTTTGGACAGAATATGGAAATTGTGAGGAGAAGTGGGGCTGTCTTCAGTAGTGCAAATTAGTATAGGTCCCCATAAGTTAGTGGAGCTCTGTTGACTTGTACTTCCTGATAATATGGCATCGCTATTTAAAAATGTAGGTACAAACTGAAATCAAAGTTTGGGTACCTATGTAGGTAGCCTGGTATTCTGAGGTATTGCAAAAAGTTTACTGCATCATCAGGGCTAATTTTAGTAATTAAAAAAATAGTTTCCAATTGCAAAGGTTTTTTAAATGCTGGTATAACATAATTCTTTGCTCTAAAATCTTTAAAAATGGTTTTAAATATGAAATGGATTTACTAGTATAGTTACTCGTATATTGGCATGGTGGCCTGGAGTTGCTGTGAAGAGATTTCATGGTCTTGTTATGAGACCAGTGGGAAGTGCAAGTCTCCCAAATAGTAATTTCATCTACATCACCAAATATTTCTTGGAAGCTGCGCTGGCTACTTTGCCAACGCTGTTTTTTGCCTTCTGCAGGAAATAGATTACCAGCTAGTTGATTCACAGAAACCTAAACAAACAGTCACTGGTTTATGCAAGATCTAAAGGCCTTGAACCTGATACAGAAATGCACAATTACATTTGTTATTATAGGATCATTCTAAGAAACAAGAAAGAACAGTATATAGAGAATTCTTCACAAATACCAGTTTAAGGCCCTGATCCTTCAAACTCTTAAACTTATGTAAAACTATTGATGTAGCCAACCTCCTTTGGCTCAGCTGGACTACCCACAGGAGTAAGTTTATAAGGATCAGTGTAATAAAGCAGCATTCACACACCCAAGATTCTGAAGACATAGGATGCATGAGAGTAAAGCTCATCAGTCTGTGATATTGAAAGAATTGTTAGGGATGTGTGGGGGATATATTCTTACCCAATTATTTAATTGTTTTTGCATTATGTCTAAATGCAAATTTAAGAAATTACAAGAAAATATTTTAGCTATTTAATGATGAAAATATTTATAAAGGTTTTTATAATATACTGTTTGATATTAAAAAACTTATGGAAGAGGTCATGGTTTTATCATGCAGTAGGCTGTAATTTATTCATATATTCCAATTTTATTAACTAAATGGAAAAGTTGTTTTGAGAATTCCTTACCTCTTATTAAAGTAATTTATTTTATAGAATATCAGTTTATTGTTTTGACCCTAGTAGCTATTTTTAGCAATTTTCCAAATTATATGATAAATCTTAGGACATCAATAACTTAGAATTCTGTCTACATATTTCTTCATTCATCTTTCCTTAAATTTGGCTATCTCAGGTAACTGTATAGTATTTAAGCATATACAGAAGAAAAAAATCCAGCCCACCTCTTACCTTAATGTCAATAATCTGTTTCATTCACTGTTTAAATGCCCAGCGCTATGAGCTAACATCATCATCCTGGATTGGGCATGACTATTCTGAGTTTATTTGGTCTGCAGATAACATAGAGCTCCTCTCGTTTGGAGCCAGCTGTTTTTGTTCAATAGTGGTTCATAAGAACTGTATGTGGAACACAACATGGGAGAAAAATATAGTCATGGGAAAAGTTTATGAAAAACGTAACTAGTTAAAGTTAAAAGTTAGCAGCCTTTAAAATTAACTTAAGTTAAAAGTTAAATATTTCTACTTTCAACTAGTTAAAAGGTAAGTTAAAAAGAGAGTAACTAGTTAAAAGTTAAGTTGATTTGTGAGAAATGCGTGAAACACGGTGAATTGCCTCAGCATCATTTTTCATTTTCAAATGCAATGAGTGGGTTTCTTTTCTATAAGCCCACAGAAGCACATTAATTTACTTGTAACTCACCCTGTTTTTCCTGAAAACAATGTTATAATTGTCATACAGTTTTCAGAATAACAATTTACCAATACCTATGTAATGTTAGATCCTTCTCACCCTCTCCATGTGAAGTACTTTGTAAAAGTCAATGGATCATATAGGTATACCAGAATAACAGAAAAGAGATATTCATAGCCAGGTGACAAATGAAAGCTGTTTCCACAGAAAACCTCTGTTGTTACAATTTTTATTGCTCAAAAGGTAACAAAAGGGTATGAAATACATCTGAATTAGAAATAATGAAAGTGTCTGAAAATCAAGAGTAGACTGAAACGAGAAAATCAGTTTAAACGAGAAAAAGTATGTACAGTTGCATAGCAGAAACGGTTTAAACATGCTTATTGAACTTCAGCAAAAGCTGCATTTCAAAATTTACACCTGACAATTTTCCTTTTCTGTCTTGCAAAACTAAGCCCCCACTACTGAACAATCTCTCTACATGGGCAGATGAGGGAATGCTTGTGTTATAACAGATGAATAGTTTTTTCATAGTAGGTGACATCTCAGATAAGTTTCTCACAGATGAGAAGTAATGCTCAACTTCTTGGGCCTTGGGCTGCTGGTTCTGATCTTCATTAAATTAAAAAAGTCATCATCCGCTTCACCCTCACTATTTGCTCCTGCTCTTAACTGGGATCAATGTCTCTGCTTGCTTGTGCTTGTTCCCTCTCCTGCAGCCAACTGGCTGCCCTGTTGACTTCTGCAAATGCACAGAAAATGCCAGCATGAACTAAGGAACTGTGAGACATAGTTCTTAAGAGACCATATTTCATAGGAAGGCACTCTACTCTCTGTCTCTCAAACAAGAAGTCCTAGCATTTCAATAAAGAAATATCATTCCATGTAAGTCCTAGAGAGTGGCTGTGTCAGGAAAAACTCTGGGAAAGCTGGCTTTCAATTATTTTTAACTTTTGACTTATGCTTTAAAAAAAGTTAAAATTAAACTTTTTTTAAAACTAGTTAAAGTTAAAAGTTAGCCATTTCTTTAACTTTGTAACTAGTTAATTCCTGTGACTGGAAATGTAACTTTTTCCCATATCTTGGGATGTCATAACCATTATCTTTAGGTATGTAGTGAATAATAAAACATTGTGAGCTTCAAGGCTCTATATGTACCCCTCAAGGGTTGCTTACAGATGTTAACCCCCACTCCCCGCACAAATAGCTCTTTATGTTAAACTCAGTACATTCTGGTGCTGAGCCCCACGCATGCCCAGAAGAAGCAGTGCCTTAGTGGGCCCTGGCTTACCCAGTGTCTATATAGAGTGAGTGCTTTAGCGGGACATTTTTAGCACTTTTAACTAATAGGTGATTGAATCACCTTTAGCTAAAAGTGCCAAAACGTCCTGCTGATGTGCCTGATCTTGCTGAAGTGCCCAATCTATATAGACGTTGGGTATGCCACGTCCAACTAAGGCACTGCCTCTTCTGGTGAAACGTGTTTTTTAGGGTTTTTTTAACATCTGCAAGCAGCCAAAATGATTTGACAGTGATCTGATGAAGTTTCAGTAGCTAAGGGGAAATTTCAGAAAGGAAAAGAAAACATATTTTGAGGTCTAAGGACTAGATTTTCAAAAGTATTTAGGTGCATAAAGATGCACATGGGCATTTAGGGTGCTGACAGACACGCAGGTCCCTGCTCTAACTCATGGCACTTGAGTTAGTGCCATGAGTTATAGTGCCCTCAAGACCCAACAGATGGTGCCCTGTCCACTGTTCTGCCTGCTGCTCTGAGAACAGCTGGAACGAGATGGAGGCACCCCAGTGTAAATGCCAGGGTGGGAGACCCGTCCCTTGCAGAGGCCATATGGAGGTGGGAATCATGTACAGTATCTCTGCTGTCAAGGACAAGCAGTGCTGAGCTGGCCTGATCGGCATCAGATGGGTTGCGGGAAGGTTAGAGGGGAGTCAGGCCTGGCTGCAGGAGCCCAAGGAGCCTGCCTGCAGCTGAGGAACCGCCTGTCCCCCCAGCCCTGCCCCC